GCGCTTTTGACGTTCGCGGTTATGTCATGCCACGCGCGGAGGATAGGTGTGACGTGGGTGTACCTGGGTGCACCCACAATCGCTCGCGCGGCTGCGTTCTGGACTAACTGGAGTCTTCGAACACTCTTCAAGGGCAGCCCCATGTAGAGCGTTTTGCCTTACAGCTGGGCCTGCTTTCACTCAGCATAAACTTCTCATATAATTGGACAAAATGTTGTTCTATGGAGCCAGAATCCAACTGTAAATGATGAAATCTAATTCAAATTGAGTTGAGAAATAACAGCTTAGTCATGCAATTTGCTAAAAAAAGAAAACAGAGAACCCCATATGAGTGAGTATGAATTCAGCTAACCTTCTGTTATGACATGTAATTCAGTCCAAAGTAAAAAAATATGGCACTTTTGTATTGATTTACTGATTTGTCTGTTGCTCGGAATGGAAATACATATTTTATATAAAAATAGGTGAATCTTTTATAATCAGATCCTGAAAAAAGGCTTTAACATTTGGGGACTTTAAAGAAGTGTTATGTTTCTTAAAAAATAAATAAACAAGCCTAAAGCCAAATAATTTTTTATTGGGATGTATCAGATTGATAGAACTTTTCATCCAGTAAAGCTTGTCACTGTTATATTCTTTCAATAAAATAACTTTTGTTCATTGGAAGCTATCTAGGGACCAGACTAGATCCAAGCACACTCAAATTTGCATTTGACTAAAGATCTCATGGGATTATTTTGAACCAGTAATTCCTTCTGCTACTCTTTGCTATAGGATGAAATGAGGGGAAACCCCCATGTATGCCTGATGTGCTTGCATAAGATAAGACGGGATATAAATACAAGGCACACTTTTTAAAATAATGAAAAGTACAGATACCTGTTGATTTTTCTTTATAATGTTAATTTTTAGGAAGAGGGAGTAAAAATAGATTCTTGAGCATTCTTTGTACCAGTCTGGAGAATAAAAGGTCTATTGTATGTGTGCCATGCCAACTTGATATAGCTCCAATACTGCAGCAAATGTAGGCTTGCTTGTCTTGAAACATTGCATAAGTATATAAAAGAACTGTGTCTGGATAAGGCCAACATCTATCCAGTCCAGCCCAGTCTAGTTCAGCATCTTCCCAACTTCAGCATTAGCCAGCATTAGCCAGTTTGACAGTTTCAGGAGTGTGATTTGTTTTAATAATTGTTTTTTTATATTACCAAGAATCAGTGCCTACCTTAGCCCTGGCTTTCCTGTATTGCCCTTTCCTTGATGTGCAAAATTTTATGGTCAGCCCTGACTGCCTTTTGCCGTGCTGTGCCAATCATAGCAATTCAAAGCCCTGAATGGGGGATCACTGAGGTTCCTTGACTCCTGTGCTGGATGACATTTACCTTCTCTGGGTAGATAAAGCAATAGCAATAGCAGTTAGACTTATATACCGCTTCATAGGGCTTTCAGCCCTCTCTAAGCGGTTTACAGAGTCAGGATATCGCCCCCACAGTCNGCCGAAGTGGCACAGTGGTTAGGGTTCAGTACTGCAGGCCACTTCAGCTGACTGCTAGTTCTTCAGCTCGGCAGTTCAAATCTCACTGTCTCAGGGTTGACTCAGCCTTCCATCCTTTCGAGGTGGGTAAAATGAGGACCCAGATTGTGGGGGCAATATGCTGACTCTGTAAACCGCTTAGAGGACTGAAAGCCCTATGAAGTGGTATATAAGTCTAACTGCTATTGCTATTACTTTGGGTTAAGGGAAATGGTGGTCAAGGATCACAAAATAAAATTATGTCACCAACGTGATGGACATGGATCTCTAGGGGTTGGGGGGAGTTCTTTAGGGTGTTGCAGATGGATGTTGGTTTCTGATAAACTAAACCCAAGCCAAGATTTAAATATTCCTGTTTTTCTGCCAAACCAGCAATTTGCTGCCATAATCCAGTAACTCAGTCCGGAAACTGATAGAAAGAAGGGAGCTGGAAAACTACAGAATCCAGGAAAAGGGGCAGATAGATCCAATTCAAACAGCGTGAAAGGATTAAAACACTCTAAAATGAGAAAAGACTATTCTTTATATGATCCGCAGCAAATTGGTGTCACCAGGAGCAACCATGTGGGAATTTGTTAGCGAGAAAAGTTAATTTTTCATGGACAGGCTTGAATGGAATTCTTATGGTTATAGTAATTATACTTGGAAAGCAAAGTCTGTCCCATGCAAATAGCTTTTCTCTTTGTTACAGAACAATAGAGAAGTCCAGAATGTTTTGTTTGGATTGACCTCTTATTGTGATTGCAGGAATAGAGGTAAGGCTACGTAAAGACATGCGTAGTAAGCTACTGTGATCTCAGTAGCTGGTTATCTCGGATACCTACAAGCTCACCTAATTAGCAGAACCAGATGCGGGAAAGGTTACATACAGACATGCGCATTACAGCCATGATCTCAAATAGCCACTTATCTTTTAGCCCATGATCTCACCAAGCAGAGACAGGCCGTATCAGGGAGTTATGTGAGATTCAACCTTGGCTGGGATAGCCTTCTGGATTCACAAGGGAAAAAGGAGGGAGTAAACCAAAAACAATACTGTTGCTTTCTGTGCTCTATTCTGCTGGTTGAAACTATACAAAAGCCAAATAAACTCTGCATAAGGTAGACAGACATTTTGGACACCATTGCTTGATGGATTTCTGAAAACCTACATGTAATAACAGACTCTCCAAATGTCATCAATTGAAAAAAAATGATTGCACAGGCAAAGAAAGGAACCAATTTGCTACATGTTATAAGCATTGATTTCCCCCTTTGTTTCAATACGATCTTTACCCTCATCAGGTAAAGTCACTTCCTATTTTTTTTTATAAATGTAATTTATTCTAAACACTGCTCTCTCTGTACATTTAAAAGTTTGCATCCTTTACTTAGAAATATTGGTATGGTTAACTGACAGAACACTGTGATCCTATGATCCTTTCTGGCAGCCATAAGGAACCAATGCAGAGGGTATGCCAACATCTTGAGCACCTTGGATATTGTGAAAATTATCATCAAAAAAGATGTGGGGCTGGATCTTGGAGAGGATAGGACCTTTTGGAGCTCCAGCCATGAAGAAGGCTTCATCAGTCGGCAGTCCCCATTCCCGGAGGGTTTTGATGGCCCGGGTGCCCATATCACGGCCACTGCGGGCAGTCACCAAATAGATGCGGATGGGAGAATCCTCCTGAGCAAATTTTTTACGCATCTTCCCAAGATGCAAAGCAAAGGTTTTCAGGGGGCCCTGCAAAAGATGGCAGGAAGCAGAAAGAATGGTATTGTATTATTATACAGACAGCTGCTGAGCAGAAATGAAAACCCACTTATTATACTCAGAGAAGGACAATTAAGCTCTATTATAATTCTCTATTATAATTTTAATTTACAATGAATAATATGATCAACATGGGGATCTTACTTTAGTCTATTAACAATAAAGGTTGGTCATGAAGGCAATTAAGTAGTTAAGTAGTGAATCTAAATCCATTCATTAGGCAACATGGAAGAACTTTACATTGTATTTTCATATCTCAATTCAGTAATATTTTCATGATCATTAATACATTGTGTAAAAAAACATTTAGAGGGGCTGTTTTGTAGACATAAATATGGTATTTTTCGGAGTATAAGACACACAGAAATATAAGACTCACCAAGATTTTGAAGAGGCAAATTAAAAAAAAAAGTTTTTGCACTCTGCAGACCACCCAAAAACAGCCCGGTTTTTTTTTGCAAAAACGGCCCCATTATTTTTTTTCAAAAAAAGGGCATGAATAGCCTTTATAAGGCTGATAGAGTGTTCCTGGGGGTTGAAGGGGGGCAAAATTGAGCAAAAAATGGTCCGTTTTCTGCTCCTTTCTGCCCCCCTACCCCCCAGGAGCACTCTGAAAGCCTCCTAAAAGCAATACACAGCCATTTTGGTGAAGGGAGTGGGGTTTCAGGAGGCAAAAATGCTGTATTCAGTGTATAAGACACACACAGATTTTCAGCCTCTTTTTTGAGGGAAAAAGTTGCGTCTTATACTCTGAAAAATACGGCAAATACATTAAAGCAAATTTGTCATCAGTTAGTCTTTGAACTAACCGAACTTTGAACTAACTAAATCCAAAAAACGAACAAACAAACAAACAAACAAACAAACAAACAAACAAACAAACAAACTGAATATACCTGTGAAGGTAAAGCAGAGGTATTTATGCAGACTTTGGATTAACCAGCTGTGAATTAATTCTTTTTTAAAGTTATATCTCATCTGTTGTCATTCTTTGTTAAATTGAATGAAAAATACCATTTCTACAATTGTTGTAGAACATACAGATGAAGATGGAAGGAATGAGTTGACATGAAGTAGCAGGAAGACAATGGAAAGACCAGGGGGTGGGCAAGCTGATAGGACGGCATGGGAAAACAGGAGTGAAGTAACCATTAAGAAAATCAGTAACAGCAGTGGGAAGATACTTGGGTTCAGGCTCAGTAACAGAACACATGTTTTGCACTTAGAAGATGCTAAGGTCAGATCCTCATAGTGAACCTTGAAAACCTTGTCTATCTCAAGAAGAAATAAAGAGAGAAGATAGCAATTGCAATAGCACTTAGACATATACTGCTTTACAGTGCTTTACAGCTCCTTTGTAAGCAGTTTACAGAGTCAGCATATTGCTCCCAACAATCTGGGTCCTCATTTTACCCACCTCTGAAGGATGGAAGGCTGAGACAACCTTGAGCCTGATGAGATTCGATCTGCCAAATTGCAGGCAGCCGGCAGCCGACAGTCAGCAGAAGTAGCCTGCAATACAGCATTCTAACCACTGGGCCATCATGGCTCTTAGAGAGGGGTATCTTCTAAGAACAGGGCAATCTTACCTCTCCCATGGGTACACTTTCCATAATTTTCTCATATTCCACTGCTTCCTCAAGACCTTTCTCATGAAAGACACGATCAGTCTCATCCGAAAAGAGTACAGCATCACCATCAAAGACAACTCGTAATTGAGTTCTAGGAGCCTGTATCTCCTGCTGAAAGATGAGGGCTGCTGAGACTCCTGCATGACAAATAGACTTGTTACGCTGCCTGTTCAGAAGAGACATCTTGGCTCTGGTCCCAATTTAACAAATCATCCCTGATCATTCCTTATTTCCTGAAGATGATGTGGATTATATATTTACATGAAGCAGAAATGGTTAAAAATGCTTTATGGCTGCATAGACCCCTTAGGAGAAGCTATCAAATCATGTGTTTCTGAGATACAACTGACAACTTTTCTGTCTTTCTTTGATTTGATTTGTCAATCATTTACAACATAATAGGTATAAGAATAAACATGAGTATGACTAAAATGGGGATGAATAAATGGGAACAAAAAGACAGAGACGGTGGGCACAATGGTACACTTATGCACATCCCTTATAGACCTCTTAGGAATGGGACGAGGTCGACAGTTTAAGGTTAAAGTTTTGGGGATTTGAAGATGTAACAACAGAGTCGGGTAGAGCATTCCAGGCATTGACCACTCTGTTGCTGAAGTCATATTTTCTGCAATAAAGTTTGGAGCAGTTTACATTAAGTTTGTATTTGTTGTACTCTTGTATTATTGTAGCTGAAGCTGAAGTAGCCGTTGACCGGTAAGACATTGCAGCAGATAATTTTGTGTACTATGCTTAAGTCTGACCATAGGCGGCATAGTTCGAGGTTATCCAAGCCCAAAATTTCAAGCCTGGTGGTGTAGGGTGTTCTGTTGCGAACAGAGGAGTGTAGTACTCTTCTCGTGAAATACTTCTGGACTCGCTCAATTGTATTTTCTTGTCTTTAAAATTCTTCTTACGAGGCCCCATGGAGTAGGTGGAGAGAGATAGGAATTTCTCAACTGGTTGGAAATTCTGGGGGATTGCAGGTTAAATAGGAAACCAAGTTAGAGAAGAACACACTAGATCAATGTTTCTCAATGTGCTTCTAATAGTTTTACTGAAATACCGGAAGAGCATGACAGAAAATATGTATTCCTTTTTAATGAAAATAGACTTACTTCCCTGATGACAAAACCTGCACTGCTAAACAGTGACACCAACTGGGATTTAGTGCATCTTACACTACTTGCCGCCCTCGGTGTTTATGCTACAAATAACCTGATATAAGTAATTGACATGAGAGTGTCAAAGTTGAAAAGCCAACGAAGAGGAGATATTGTTCCTTGTTGTCTGATCTTGGAAGAGCACGGAAGGATTTTCTCAGGAGGGCCCTTGTAGAATTTGCGATAGGCTATAATGGAGGAGGAGCATTCATCTCAGGACATAACCAGGGAGATGGCAGAAAAATATAAGAAAAGTAAATATTTCAGATAAAAGGGGAAGGAAGAGAAAAGAAGGACAAACCTCTCTGAAGTGCATTGCACACATCTTTTGGGTCAGCTGAGAGAAAAAGTTTCACATTGTGGGTTTTCAAATATTGAGTAGAATCTTCATCACTGACAAAGCAAAACTTGGAGATTTCCAAACCTTAAAATCCAGGAACAAACAAGGGGGAACACAAATAGAAGTTGAAGCAGCAAAAAGGTATATCATGAAATCTCATTCTTGCAATCCAACTATTAAAAACTATGAAGTGCTGAGTTGGCACCTCCAGAGGTTTTTTTCTTAATGGTGATTGAAATGGAGCAAGATCACATTTGAAACTTTATAGGGAAAGAAGAGAAAGGGCTATTTGGCTTGTATAACTGATAAAAAATGGATTTGGCAGAAGAATAACTAATTCTCAAGCCCAGTGTTTTCCCTCATATGATGACATTAAAGTTATAAAAGTATGGTTATTAGACCAGATTTATATACTATAGCAGATCAAGACACATACATAGTCCCCCTCCTCCTATTTTTCTCAACAACAGTGACACTAAAAGAAAATAACTGATTCAAAATCTTTGGGAGACCAACTCAAAAGGCAATCTACCATATTGTTTCACACTGTTCATTATTCGCACACCAGTCTCCGGACTATTATTGGAGAGAACAATGACATCAAAGAGTCCCTTTTCTTCTGGGTTTCTTTCAAGGAGTTTCTTGTTCACAAACTGCACTGCCTGAAAGGAGCAGGCAAAGATGTATTAGTATATATCTATGGAGCTTCTCAGTCATATAGATCATGACTGTCCCAAGGGTGTTTTTTCAAAAGACAGCTGCAATTTCTTTTTTTCCCCTTGAAGACCTTTTGCTTCTCATCCATGAATTAAAGAAACTTCTTGGATAAAAAGCGAAAGATCTTCAAGGAAAAACAAAGCAATTCCAGTTGCCTTTTGAAAAAACACCTATGGGACATGCATTACGTACAGGTTTCTCTGAAGGTGAGCCCTGAATGGCCATATATGGATACACTTTGCAAAAATCACATTTTAAATGTAGTTGCAATTGTTTGAAAGATCACACATTCAATACAGTATGTCCACATTAATGATTGGAGTGAATTCTGAAGATGGAAAAACTTGAACAGCAATAGATGGATATATGCAGGAATGTTTCTAGAATGTGGTCAAAAATGTCAAGGCTGCAGCCACAACTGTGAGATCAAAAGCTTCCCATCACATGTCACATGTGCAACCCACATAAGAAAATGAGCAAGTCATCGTTTTGATGGATTTTTTAAAATCATACCTTGTGGACACCACTGAGCTTTTTTTATAAATAAAACACAACTATTACAAAATGCCCATAACCCTTATGTAACTTCTTCATAAACACTTGAAGTTCTTATTTCTTAGAAAAATGGAGACACAATTATTGGGCAAGAGGAAAAAACTGAACACTGGTCAAAAACTTGATTATCTTCATATACCATATTTTTTGGAGTATAAGACCCACTGGAGTGTAAGACGCACCAAAGTTTTGAAGAGGCATTTTAAAAAAAAGGTTTTGCACTCTGCAAACTTGATAAAAATGGCCCGTTTTTCATGAAAACGGGCCCATTTTTTTTTTAAAAAAAGAGTATGAATAGCCCTTAGGAGGCTTGTAGAATGTTCCCGGAAGGGGTGGGGGGGCAAAAATGACCAAAAATGGCTCATTTTTTCANAAGGATGGAAGGCTGAGTCAACCCTGAGCCGGTGAGATTTGAACAGCCGAACTGCTGAACTGCAGTCAGCTGAAGTAGCCTGCAGTGCTGCACTTAACCACTGCGCCACCTCGGCAGTATATACCGGTAAGCATTTAGACTTACCGGTATATACTGCCTCATAATGCTTTACAGCACTCTCTGGGCAGTTTACAATGTCAGCATATCGCTCCAACAATCTGATATCTCATTTTACCGACCTCAGAAGAATGGAAGGTTGCATCAACCTTGAGCCCCACTGGGATCAAACTCCTGGCTGTGGGCAGAGTTAGCCTGCAATACTGCATTGTAACCAACCACCAGGACTCTTCAAAGGTCTTGAAATGCGCAGTCCATTGCAGTATCTATTCAAGAGATGGCAAGCAAACGCATGACTCTTGCCAGGGATTCCTGCTACGGGAATGGTCACAACTGGAACTAGTGATGTTATATCATGGACAGAGTCAATAGTTGCTTTTTAATTACAGAAGATCATAATAACTACCATCCCATTCATTTGCTGACTGTTTCAGTAGTGATTTTATTCAGTTTAGTAGGCTTGATAATAATAAAAATAAATGTAAAAATGTAGGAGAAACTACAAAGTTGAAATGGAACCAGGAAAAGCTGCGGTCATTATCAGATGGTGCTGAGTGATTTATGTATAAGTCTCATCCTGCTTAGCTTTCTTCAAGATTACTCAAGATGTTGACACTTAGGATCATTTAAATTAGTTATGCTCCATTTTCTAATATCTTTAAAGGAGTAACTCATGTGTACTTAAAGAAAGTAATCATTTTAAAGGTAAGTTCAAATTCATCTTTAAGTTTGAGGTTTTTAAAAAAATGCACTTCAGAATTCTACTCTCAACTTTTTAAAATTTTTCCCTGCATGTGAATAGCAAGTGAATTTTCTTAGGTGTCATTTGAAATTATTTCCAAAGTGTTGCTAAAGGCTGAAGTGGCTGAAGAGCCGAAGTGGCACAGTGGTTAGGGTTCAGTACTGCAGGCNTGAGCCGGTGAGATTAGAACCGCTGAACTGCAGATAACAGTCAGCTGAAGTGGCCTGCAGTACTGCACCCTAACCACTGCGCCACCTCGGCTCTAATTCTAAAGTGAATTAGAATTAACGCCACAGAATTTAAAGTGGCTGAAGAAGGGGCCTAGGTAAAAATTTAAGAAAGGGGCTAGAAAAGAATCATTCGTCTATAGAAATCTTCCAGGAATACCATCCTAAGTACTTACACACTGTAAGTGCCACATATAAAAATGCCTATAAGAGCAACGAATCAACTTGTCATTTTTATCACTAACATTGCTGCAATCAGTCTGGAATCAGGCTTACAGCAAACTGCTATTTCAGTTCTGCAATTTGTTGCATTTAAAGATGGTTTGGAGGCTCCCAGGAAGTGTTATTTCACAACACTCTTTAGTTTATTAGCAATAACAATAGCACCAGTAGTGGGCTTCAATTTCATTTACTACCGATTCGCTTGTGTGCGTGCATGATGTTTCTGCACATGTGCAGAAGCGTCTGGGTGGGTGGGCAGAGCCTCCTGCTGCCACCACCGGTTTGCCCGATCCGGGGTAAACTGTTAGCAACCCACCACTGAATAGCAGTTACACTTCTATACCGCTTCATAGTGCTTTTACAGCCCTCTCTAAGCGGTTTACAGAGTCAGCCTATTGCATCCAACAATCTGGGTCCTCATTTTACCCACCTGGGAAGGATGGAAGGCTGACTCAACCTTGATTATTATTAATTGAAGGTTTAATAGCGAGGGAGCTTGACTGGATTCAGCGAGATGCTTATATGTTAGTTTCTAGCTAGTAAATAATTTGGGTCAGTTCAGCTTCATCTATAAAAGTTGGAATACCTATTTGCAATCAAGAAGTTATAATAAATAAGTAAAGAAAAAGGATAAATTATAGGAAGAAACTCAGAGCCAGTGCTCAGAGAATCACAAAAGTTGGCTATGGATGCAATTCAACCTCACCTTGTTTATAGCTAGTCATATTAAGTAGACATGAACAAATGAATTAAGGCAAATATACGAGTCCCAGAATAATGTTGCCAGATCCAAGCTGGGTCGGTCACGGGGACCAGAGTGAAATGAAATGAATAAATTCCGAGATAACTATTGGTTCGCCTTCTTCCTTGTCCTATACTACTCACACAGAAATAATTAATCTACCTTCATCATCTCCGATGACTGCAATACTGTAGCCACTAAATCTCACTTTCCCTCCTGGTTTCTGGCAAGGAGAGAAAGGCGCGCATAAGCGGAGAAACAGAACAGATTGAAAGGAAACAGCATTAGGCAAATATTTCCTTTTAAGGAGCCGGCACGAATTGGGGAAGCGATAGAAAAGATGGTGATTGATCGCAAAAAGTTGGATGGTTACAGTTTTTCTAATGACAAAAACAAGCATGCAATTCAATATTCAAATATTTAATAGTCAAATATCCCCAAACTCACCACCTATCATTCATAGAAGCTCGTTTCAAAACCAGCGGTATTCGAAGAATCAAGTTTACAACTAAGCGCATGCTGCTTCTTTTATGTATACTTTTTTCTCCCTACGATATAAAAGTCCCTCTGAATGCTGGGAGTTGTAGTTGGCACCTCCGGAAGGTCACATGTCTATTTATGGAGAGAAAGCTCAGAATGGACTCCCTTTCCCAGAGCGCCTTGCGCTGGCTAAAATAAATAGGGCGTGGGTAAGGCGTTGTTTTACAAGTTGATGGATAAATTCTCCTAGTGAGGACAGTTTGAAGTTTTTCCACAAGGGAAAGGATACAAATAGCGGGAGATCCAGAGTTTCATTTCATGGTTCCCACAGGCCAGCCTTTCAATTTAGGACAGACTGTGCAGTCATCTTTCATAACCCTGTCAAAGGCATTTTTATTTTCACTGGCAGAGATGGATTATAATTTTCTTCTAGCCCTCTCATTTCATGAGCAATAACATGTCACTGTTAAATACAACCCATTAGAGGCATCTGAAAATATAGCTTGGAAATATTAAAGGGGATAAATAAAACATCTTTTTATTAAAGATCTGTCTTGCTTTTATTTAAAACTTTCTACTTTAGAACTCAAGAACCATCTGCTTCCACCAGTGATTGGATTCAATTTTTTTTACTACCGGTTCTGTGGGCATGGCTTGGTAGGCGTGGCTTGGTGGGCGTGGCAGGAGAAGGATACTGTAAAATCTCCATTCCCTCCCCACTCCAGGGGAAGGTTACTGCAAAATCTCCATTTCCTCCCAATCAGCTGGGACTCGGGAGGCAGAGAATAGATGGGGGCGGGGCCAGTCAGAGATGCTGTTTACCGGTTCTCTGAACTACTCAAAATTTCCGCAACCGGTTCTCCAGAACTGGTCAGAACCTGCTGAATACCACTTCTGTATTCCACGGATTTCATTTTTGCAGAAACAATACTGAAGTGTACTTCAGTACTTGTTCCCTTTTTACCTACCACTAGTGTTAAAATTTCACGTCCAAAATATTTTTGCCTGCTGTGGGCATAATCGATTGGTGAGATATACTTGTTATGATCATGGCATGGGCGTATAAATTCACAGAGGCCAAAAGGACAAGACAACTAAAAGAAATGGACATAATTCACTGGTGTGCAAAACTTCCTGGCAAGCAAAATTATTTTGGCAGGCAAAAAGGGAATTGGAGCCTTCCAATTTTCCTTAACAGAATAGCTTTAGGGAAAAGCACCTCTGAGCATAAATATGCTGCCTTTCTCTTTGGAATTGGAACAGCTTCTTAATCTTAAACAGGAAATAATAAAAATGCTTTTTTGGTAGCTGGTTGGATGACAAATCTTGATTGATTGGTAAAGCATTTAATCTGTTTACTAAAGGTTGTTCTTAACTCTCACCCTGTTTATATTTCTGATTGGTTAGATTGATATTGATATTGACCTCCAGAAGCTCAAACTCTTCATTTTATTCCCTTTGCATATCTGTGTGGTAAGTTGTGAAAGTTAGTCAGTGAGTTACTATGGATTATAGGGCAATTTTATTTCTTGTAAATTCCAGATAAGGGTTTTGAATTCTGCTGCCATCCAATTGCAACTCCAACTGAGTTGAAAGGGAATGGAATAATTATTTAACTTGCAGTTCTAGACTCATTTACAGAAGAGTATGCTTCACTGGACTCACCGGGAAGTGCTTTGGAATAAATACATATAAGATTGTGAACGTTAGAATGGAGAATAAGAAGTGGGGGGTCAGAGTTTTTTTCAGTGACTTTGTAGTATAATTGGGATCAGCAGTGAGAAAAAGAGATGAAGCGCTAAACAGGGGGGTCAAACTGGCAGGCAGCGGGCTGCCACATTGCAGGCCACATTCACCCCAGCTCCAAGAAGGGGAAAAAAAAACCATCACAAAACATCACATGACAGCAAAGTGATGCCGGGAGTTTGACACCCATGCTCTATCATGTTACTAAAATTAAGGAAAATGAAAAATGCAAGCCGCAAACCAAGAGTTTACAAGTGGATGAGATTTCAGGATGTGACAGAATAGGAAATAAGGTTAGGATGCCAGTTGGGACACACCCACACATCCTATTGGCATTGGATGACAATTCTGTCACAACCTGTAGTCCTCAAATTACAACAGTTCATTTAGTGACTGTTCGAAGATTCAGCATCACTGGAAAAAGTGACTTATGACCGTTTTTCACACTTACAATCCCCATGGTCATGTGATCAAAATTCAGATGCTTGGCAACTGTCTCAAATTTGTGACAGTTGCAGTGTCCTGGGGTCACCTTTTGCAACCTTCTGACAAGCAAAGTCAATGGGGAAACCAGATTCACTTAAGAACCATGTTACTAATTTATCAAGTGCACTGATTCACTTAACAACTGTGGCAAGAGAGGTTGTAAAAATCAGGCAAAACTTATTTAACAAATGTCTCACTTAGCAACAGAAATTATGGGCTCGATTGTGGTCGTAAATCAAGGGCTACCTATACGCATAACAATATCTAGACCCAGAGGCAAATTAATTATTATTATTGTTTAATTAATATATTAATTACTACTACTGTGGATGTTTTACTTGTAGTCTATTCATTACTATGGAAGTTTAAACTGCTGTTTGCAGGTTGTTTTTAATTGTGGATGTAAGCTGTCACGATTCTGTATGAGTAGGTAGCATGTAAATCTAACCAACAAAGAGCTCTTTCTGTTAATGTCTTGTGGCCTTTGAGAAACTAAATTATAGCTAACATTCACAAATCCAAGAGAGACATCAAGAGATTGCGAGGAACAAAATTACCTTGTCCCAGTAATGGGTCATTTCAGTATAAAGGCTTAGGATATCTCATATCTGCCATAGGAACAATTTCTCAGAGGGAGAAAATATCTGAGTCCCATGCATCTAATGCATATGAAGATGCATAATAAATGGCTATCTTGTGCATTATAAATTGCCTGGAAAGACTGGTGATTAATAATACTTCATTAAGGTTTTTTTTTTTTTAAAGAATGTTCCATGACTATATACATCACTGATATGTTTCTGTTGTTTTGAGGTTTGGCTTGACCTGTTGTTGCTGCTTTTAGAAAAAAAGAAAAGAAAAAGAAAAAAGAAAGGGAAACTCCAAAATGACCCTGGAGACCTTTAAACTGAAATATCACTACACCCTGTCTTCATTGCTAAACAGAAACAGGGCGAACCTGCTCTAGAGTTGATGACACACCTTTTATGTTTCAGACAAGGCTTTAGTGGATTTGGCGTTCAGGTGGAAATGCCTATGGAGCTTTTGGTATTTATTACTTCTCCATCACACAGTGGAATAGAACAAGAAAAACAGCTCAAGTGTGCAAGGAGGTTACCGTGTTTTCTTATTTTTACAGGCTGCCTTACCGATAGTCCTCGAGTTATGACCATAATGGAGGCTGCCCATCACCAACATAAGTGATAGCAATAGTTAGACTTATATACCGCTTCATAGGGCTTTCAGCCCTCTCTAAGCGGTTTACAGAGTCAGCATATTGCCCCCAACAACAATCCGGGTCCTCATTTTANCTCATTTCTGCCCTCCCCAGCCCCCAGGAGCTCTCTGAAAGCCGCCTACAAGCTATGCACGGCCATTTTTGCAAAGGGTGCGAGGTTTCAGGAGGCAAAAAAATGCTGTATTCAGTGTATAAGACGCACCAAGATTTTCAGCCTCATTTTTGAGGGAAAAAGTTGTGTCTTATATTCTGAAAAATACGGTATTTGGATATAAAAATTCCAGTCAAGCCAGAATCATTGCTGGTGAAAAACTTTGTGATTGCTATTACAAATGTCCCATCTGCATTTACTCTTATGTTTTAATTTAGTACATGAGGACTGGATGAGGACTCTCTTTAAAACTTAAAATATGCACCACTTACAAATAACTTGCTAAAAGAAATCCCGTCCCCTCAATTTTCTTTTTACCTGAATGAAAGGGAAAGCTGTTCCCTGCTCCAAGGGGCTATTCTCGTTTTCTTGCTGATGTTTCACATATTCCTCTTTGCCCTTTGTCAAGAAGATTTCATGCTCTCTCTCCAAATTAAAAATGGCCCTGGTTGTCACAGCAATAACCAATGCTTCCTTTGGATCTTTCTGGAGATGTTCAAGAACATTGACTTAACTAACATTAAAGGGTTGGAAAGGAAGAGAAAGAAACTTGTACATTCTCCTCTTTCATACCTTTCTCATCATCACACTGCACCATCTCTCTTTGTGAGCTAGCATTGTATTCAGAAAGCTAATTATTAAAAAAAAACTCTGCAAAACCTGTATTTACAGCATAATTACTACATAGCATGCAGAAGTTATTCCAGCCTAGAAACCTGGGCCTGACCTTGCACACTGCCAAGGAAAGGGATGGCTAGGAAATCAGTCATCAAACTAGGAACTGTAATCAACCAGTGGTCATCACCTCATACATGATTCCCATAATAATGTTCAAGGGAGTCTTGCATGAACGTAATGAGACTCCACATTCTCTGTCAACAACCATAAATCTTCCTTTTAGTTGTGAAACTTGGCCCATACATGCTTTTTTAAATTGGCTGCCAACTCATCATGAGAAGTGTCTTAAAGATACGCCAGAGGAAAGGACAAAAGAAAAAAAAAACGCACAAAGAAAAAATTGGAAGGAGCTGAAATGCCACTCCCTAATTAAATGCATGAATAAATGACAGCAGTGGTCAGCTTGATGCTTCCAAGAGATCCAGAAGAGAGACATAAAGGCTTTAGAATAGACCTGGGCATTTTACAGCCTCTAGGCCAAACCAGCCCTTTGGCTGTTCCTGTCCAGCCTGTATGGATTGCTTTTATTTTGAAAGTGACTTGGGTGTGTGCATGCCTATACACCGTCACAGCCCTATTGCATTGGCCATCCAAACAGTGTCAGTTTATCATGTGGCCTCTAGGGAAAAATTAATTGTCCACTTGTTTTTTAGAGGGCAGCTGGTCCACACATATACTTTTGCCCATGTTACTGAACATTTCCCCTTTTAGTTCAAAGGCATATTGTTCAAAACTAGTTAATGTAACTATTTTAAAAGTATACAGATCCATTCTAAAATATTTCTGAAATTAAGCTTTAAATTTCAGATAAGCAATCAACATAGCAACATGGCCCGAACACAAAAACTGCCAAGGAATACATCCACCCAGCTCAAAATCAATTTGTAACAACTGGTAAATTTATGATAACAATTAACCACCCAGAGAGAAATCATATAAATGAGATTAAATTGGCAAGTTTAAAAATGACATCATTAAAAGCTGCACAGAAAACAAGTTACAACATTATGTAACCCCAGCTAGAGCCTTACCTGGAGTTATATAATGACTGAATGACAAGGCAAACCCTCTCTACAAACGGATACATTCATTCCAGTAAGACTGAAAGTATAGCATTAACAAGAGCTAAGGTCCCTTTTGATGTTTTGCAATATCAAGGTTATATATACTTACTCAGGTGAAAGCTTTTCATAGATTTCCCTTCTCAAAGCAAAAACAGCCCTTAGCATTCTCTCTCTGTAAATCAATATCCATTAGCAATTCTCTTTTAGAACCCAAAGGTTACAAAGCTAAAATAGATAGATCCACAGTTGTGTAGTTTGCCTCTAAGGTCTCCTTCCAAATTGAGTATATTATCTAGAAGAATCAGGGGAGATTAGCCTTCATAACAGAATGTCAGTTTAAGCCAATAAGTGCTCTTTCTTAGCCAGGCTTGCATTTCTGCTGAAATAGATTCTATTTCCAAGCAAAGGGCAGCACTGAGAGCTTTCTGAGAGACATCAAAGATAGCCTTCAAAAACCTGAGTTGCCTCCCATAAGGAGAAACATTTCCTGTTTGAGATTAGTGAGGGGGATGACCATGGACTCTCAGATTTCTCTAGTGTACCAGTTGGGCCTATTCTTGGATCAAGGAGATTTTCAGATAGACACTTGAGTCCTAAGTCCCGTCATGAATAAACTATTGCTATGTGTTCTACATGGGGCTGCTGTTGAAGAGTATTCAAAAACTATCCAGAATATCAATCCAGAGTTCAGTGGTGAAGGCAATTAATTGTTGGTTAAAATTCAAGGTGCTGCTTATTGTTAATAAAGCCCTTAATGGCATAGGATCTGGTTGTTTGACATATTTGTTGTTAGTTGCAAAATCGTGTCCGACCCATCGCGAACCCATGGACAATGTTCCTCCAGGCCTTCCTGTCCTCTACCATCCCCTGGAGTCCATTTAAGCTCATGTTGACTGCTTCAGTGACTCCATCCAGCCACCTCATTCTCTGTCGTACCCTGCTTCTTTTGCCCTCAATCGTTCCCAGCATTAGGCTCTTCTCCGATGAGTCCTGCTTT